GAAAGTTTGCAAAGGTGAAGTCTGGCCCCATCTTCAGTATATTTGTAAACCAGTTACTGCAGTAAATGATTGTCTCATAACGTGCTATTGTATTTATATTCACAACACCCTCTTAAAGTAGGCAGGAAACTGCTGCAGAGACAGGTCATGTGAATGGCCAACTCACAGAGAAGGTCCATGGCTCCATCCTTCCTCATATGCAGTAACACCTTCACCCACGAGCATCCTTCTGGGCAGAGTACTATAGTGCCACTGAATGCAAGTAATGGTAATGAATCTCACTGTAAGTCTAAAGGAAATTCCTACTCCAGTGTCATTAGGATTAATGAAAAGAAGTTTTCATATAGCTCTAAATTGAAAAGAGTTAACATTTGGACTATGAAATAAATAGAAAAATCTTTGAAATAGAATAGATTATGAAATTGAAGTAGGAAGCTGTATTAGACCAAGCCTTACTGGCAGGTCACTTACCTTGCACCTATCCCCACAATGTGGCTTCCAATATCCATATTGAACTCTCTTTGCTATTATCTTCTTTGTTAAATCTAAAGTTCCTTTGTGAGGTTGAAACCATGCTGAATGGGGGAATCTTCCTTTCTGGGGATGAGATGATAAGAGATATGAGGTGTACATCTATATAGGAGTGTGGTAATGGAAAGAACAAAATCACCTCCAGTGGGGCATACTGCCCCATTGCTTTGCACATCATTTTATACTCTGCTATGATCTATGCTCGATTTCCTTGTAGGCCACTCACAAGGCTGTGGTGGAAGTTGATGAGAATGGCACCGAGGCTGCAGCAGCAACTGTCATTGAAATTATGGTAGGCGCCTCCATGGATCCTCCTCCTGTCATCAAGTTGAACAGGCCCTTCCTGTTGTTGAGAAAAAACATCCGCAGCATCCTCTTCATGGGCAAAATTGTGAACCCCAAAGCTCCATAGCTCTGAGTAAATCTTTGGATAAATACCAAAGAGGATATACTCATCTTACAGTCTTCTTTATGCCAATGACTGCAAAAAAGCCATAATTAACATGCATTCAAAAGAAATAAAGCAGTTATGTGGTAAATCCTCACCTCCAAACATACTAGTATTTGTGTGAATAGGGCATGTGTGTTATAAGAAATGTTGGTTAGACCAGACAGAGTGCAGGGGTAACGGCTGGTCGTAATAATGTGTGAGGTTGTAGATCACAAGATATATTTTCTCCAATCCCCTCCATCCCGCTGAAGATTGATCATATTTTTAAACAAAGAAATATGACAAGTAGGGTATTTTAGGATGATATGTGGACATATTTTTGGAAGATTGGTGGAAAAAGGAAAGAAAAAAAAAAAAAAAAAAAAAAGGTTTTTTTTTTTTTTTTGGGGGGTTCCTTTTTTTTAAAAAAAAAAAAAAAAAAAAAAGGGAAATTCCATGGCAAAATGCAAGATGAGAGAATACTGAATTCATCTGTTGGTAATGCACTCTCTAGTTCCAATCTATACAACTCCAGTCCAGGTTTTGCCTACCAAACAGTGACCTCCCTTCACCCACAGGCAAATGCCCTCCCACTAAATCACTAGCTGATTCCATTTTCCCTTGCACTTAATGACAACCTAACACCTACCCTAGATCCTGCCATCCAAACACCCAGCTCAGAACTATTTACAGAACAACTTTTATTTACAGCACAATGCCCTTCAGGTTAAGAAACCCTCTTCTTTGACCAGGCTCTCTCCACATCTCTAGACAACCTCCACATGCATAGACCCGCTTCCCACCAAACCTGCCAGGGCCTAGAACACAAATACACACAGAACATTTGTGTCTGCAGCATCAGCCCTGCCCCCTCCTATCTGACATCCACTACCAGAGCTGTTCTGATCCAGGCATTATTTAGTCACTAAGGTTGGGCTGTGTGATACATGAGAGAGTCAAGCATGCTGCATCTTCCAGTTCCAGTACTCCACTGATCCACTCAGACTCATCCTCCCACTAGACTTTTTACTGGTGTCTATTTGTTCTCATCCATCTGCTCAACCTCTAAATTTAAAAAGGCCAAATCAGAAGACAGCAAAGGTTTCATCTAATGAAGTGACTAATTACTGGGTAACACAAAAACCAAGTTACTAGTTCAGGTGGGCAGTGAGACAGAATATCTTGTGTGCACTTTCCTTTGTCATGAAAACAGCTTGAATACAGCTTAGTGAAATAGGCATAACCTGACCCAATTCAGCTTCCACTGACCATGAAGTAAGAATATGCACAAAAGCAGTTACCAGGAAGCAATTTAAAGCATGATAAAGCCCTGTCCCCATAACCACCATGATAAATTATTGGTATACCCATTCCATTAGTATGAGGGGCCTTCTAATTGATCTTGAGCTCTTACCTTTACAGTGCCTATAAATCTTCTTGAAAATGGGGGTAATTATATTAATCTACTTCAGGCACTAAGGGCCCCTGTACACATGCAGGTAAAAGCATGATAGGATCTAATGCAGGGGTGGGCAAAATACAGCCTGCAGGGGATCCAGCCCAGCAAAAGATTTGATCCAGTCCATGGGTGGATGGCTGCCAGCTCATTGGATCTGGCCAGTGGAGTCAGCCAGTGGCTCCGGCCACCATGTGGTACCAAGCAGGCAACGGGGACTGCTTCAGCCCAGCAGCATCAGGCATCAGCTGTAGGCCTGGGCATGGCTTCTACCACAGCAGACAGGTGGCAGTGGCAGGTGTGGATGCCACAGACAGGATTAGGAGCCTGGACACAGAATCTGTTGGTGGCATTCATAGCTGACCTACCCCCTTCCAGAGCCCCAACCCAGAACTTGCCAACAGTGTCAGCTATGGACTCAGGCAGGAGCTGTTGCCATGCCAGGTGGGTGGCAATGTCTCTCTGTCTCTTCCCTATTCCTTCTCTCCCTTCTTCCCCACCCCAGCCCTCCCTACAAAACAATTTATACAAATTAAGTGAAGTCACAAGAGTTTTTTCCAGCATCACTTTCTCACAGTAGCTTAACTAGGGCATTGCTCCTGCTTCTCTTCCTCCTACCATAACATTAAACGGGCCCTTCTTCCTACTGATTCTTAACTAATGTACCTGCAGCATCTTTTTAAGGGGAAAATGGTAAACATTATTGAAAACTGCTGCATATATCCAAATACAAAATAACTTTGAATTTAAGACAAGCTCCCCCAAAAATAAATTTGTTATCATTTTCAATATACAGAATCTAATTGTAAAGGATCATCAGGATTTATTTTCCCCTTCCCCAACCATCACTGCAATGGGGAAAACAGCAGTGGTAGAGATGACCGTGGCAGGATGCGGAGCCTGGGGCAAATCAGCCTCTGCAGGGCTCAGACACAGCAGCAGTGGCAGGAGGAAGTGGGGTGGCAACCAGATACAAAGCTGGCCCGACTCCCTCAGGTCCCCCAAAATGCGGGGCACAGGGCAGTTGCCCCAGTTTGTCCCACGTAGGCATAGCCCTGAGCAGTGGAGGGAACAGACAGCCTGACCCGAGTCCTTTCTTCCCCTTGCACCTAGCCCTACCCACCACTTGCCTTCCCGGTCTCCTGCTCCTACATGCCATGCTGTCAGGTGTCTCCACATGACCCTGAATGCCTCAACACCCTGTGCCTCTGCACTGGATGCTTCTGCACAGGGTCCCACAGTGAATCCTGTGACACCCTGTTCCTCTGCACTAGGTCCCACACCATACTATGCCCCATTAAGTAGATTCCTGCCACCTCTTCTGAATGTATGTACTGCATTTTACTTGATTCTAAGGCTTTGTTTTCTTCATGTTGAATAGGAGGAAAAAACCCTCATCTTGAGTAAATATGGTAATTGGCCAGCTGGTCTATACACTGGTTAAATTTCCAGGTTGTGTCTATAACTTCCTGCTCACAAATAGTTTATTTCATTACCCACTACAAAGCAATCTATGTAAAGAGATTATTCCCAAGACCAAACTGTGATGGTCTAGAATTAAGATGTTTAAATAGGAAATCAACTTGTCTATCCCTGAAAAACAAGATAAATAACCTGTTCCAGGAAGCATATTTAATATATTTACATAAAGGTATCGAATGAACAAGCTGAGGTTTGTCATGCCCAAAGTCTACAAAGACTAACAAAGAACCTGTGTCATACCAAAGAGATGAATAACTGTATTTTGGCAAACACTGTAGCATAAGACTCTTGGATGTCTTGCTATATAACCAAATGGCTCTGAGCTTCCATTGCAATAAGATTTAAAAAGTTAATTTGATCACTAGATCACAAATGATAACACAGTTAAACCACACAGTTCCTGGAGGGTGATATTGTCTCTGTGAATGTTATGAATGAGACCAATATGTCAGAGATTCAAAAGAGTACTGGCAAAGGTTCTGAAAAGAACAGTAAAATGACATGAGATCTGAACATCATGCCTCATGATGAACAATTTAGTGGATGTCTGCAACTGTCACGTACCAAGGCACAGGCAGTCTAGCCGATGGTTTGCACAAGCTATTAGCCAAGGTCCAAGGGATAGCCGGGGTCCAAGCCAGAGGATCATAGTCTGAGCCAGGGCCAGAACAGTAGACAAAGCAAGGTCAGGGAGCAAGCCGGATTAGATACCTGTGAGAGGCGAGCTCCAATAATCAGAGATATGAGGTAGAGACAAAGGTCAAAGTCTGAGCGGGGTCAGCAACAGGTGGTCAGCCAGGGCATAAAGGCAGGAAAACAGCGGAACATCCCAAGGACAAAAAGAAACCTTGATGTCCAGACAGTTTCCCCAGGAAACCTTATATAGACAGGAAGATCCACTCGGGGACTGGGAGCCCCAAGCCAACAGGGGCCAGTGGTAGAATGTGTTTTCCCAGTGGGGCCCCTTTCCTTGCCACTTCACCTTCTGTCATGGGCTATGGCCTGGTAAGGGGCTGAGCTGGTGCTTGGTCCCAGAGCCCCATGGTTGGTGGTCTGGGATGGGGTCCTAACAGCACCACTCAAGCCCATTTCACTCAGCTGCTTTCTGCTCTGCAGGTACCAAATCTGGAAATGAGGCACTTTGAAGACAGCCCTCACCATGACTCTCAATCATACTTTAATCTAAGATCTTGAGAGCAGTGATGAAAGCCCCTTAAGCACAGCTATACGTCCTCATTTCTGGGACTCACACATGTGGAGTGGGACCTCTTGGAGAGGTGGGGAAGCAGTGTGAATGTACCCTTATGGAGCCTCTTCTATTTAAAGTATTAAAAGGTTAAGAGGTGACTTGATTACAGCTTTGAAGTACCACATGGGGAACACAGAAGGCCTGGAACCAGAGACAGCAGCAAAACACAGTCTAGTGTCTGAAAGTTATTTAGCTTAAGACTAAAGCAAAAACTAATCTAAATTGATTGGAACATGCATTAATTTGTTAAGTTATATATTAAGTTTAAAAAACACAACAAACTAGGCAAAAAAAAAGTCAAAAGATGTTTTGTTAGTCCTTGTAGTTAACAGTCCATCTTTCAACTGCATAAAACACAATTTTCCCTTCTAGAGTGTTGTGTAGGTGCCTCCGGTCTTCAGAGTCAGTCATTACTGCACCTGAGCTAATATTACCACACCTGAGTTAAGGCTTTTAGCTAGAGCTAAAACCAGCCTGCAGGGCTGTGAAACAGGAGACGTTACAAGGAATAGCTAATACACAGCTAAATTGCAGAAAAAAGTCTAGCTTGAATAGTGGAAACTGAGACCATTAAGGAGGAGAGAGGGTCATTGTAACAAGGTAACTATCAGGGTTGATCACCATGCCAGCCCACCTCCCTCTCTGGGCAGCCTGCCTGCCTACACTTTTCTGCCATGTCTTGATGTAAACAATAAGCTGTTTTTTTAAGGCAGGAGGGCTGCCCATTTTAAAGCCCAATGCCAAGGGAATATTATACGACTCCAAACCTCCGCTTATACCATGTCCCATGCCTCGCAGATGGCATACAAATTCCACTATCACTCCCCCGGCCCCTTACTGAGATGACCTGGGCTCTGGCCCAA